AAACTAATAAAAATAAATTTAAAAAATGGAGAAAAAAAATACCAAAACACTATGGCTTGGCTTGGCAGCTGGAGTCAAGCTTGGCTACAAACATGAAACTAGCTAGAAAGGCTTAAAAAGTAGCTCAAATTCAGGTCGAGGGGCATGGGTCCGATCCAAACCATAGGGCAACACGTGGATCCTAAAAATTGTTTAACAAAAAAAACAACGTTGCTTCTTGCTAATATATAAAGCCCCAAATATTTCTTTTTCCTTCAAAACCCTTCTGTCATTTCTCTCTAGTAGATGCTTTGACCTTTCTTTTTTTTGTTTAGATTTCGACAACCGAAATCTTTTAACATCGTAGGGAAATTCGTTGACCATTGATCGAATTTTGGGATTGGCCACTGGAATTTGGGTAATTACACTGAAATTTCGTCGAAAAATATGAGCTTGGTAAAAAAATTCAATCGATTTTTGGAAATTTTGTAGAAAATTCCTCCCTTGCAAACTCCAGTTTTTGAATCTTTTGACCAACTATCTTTCTTGAATTAAACTCAAAACTACCCTTAAAATAAAATTTCCACCAGAATCAAAACACTCAATTGCTGCCAAACTCTTGCTATAATTTTTTCTCTATTTTTCTTTTCAATTGCTCTTTGATTATTGTGCCTTTTGTTCTGTGATTTAAAAATCTATTTATAGGGCATAATGAGGAGTATTTTAGATTGATTTCAACTCCAAAAATTAAGATTATCATGAAAAAAATAAAATTTATCTTTAAAAAGTTTAACTTTAAATTTAATCATGATAAAATTACATTATCATCACCTATTCCTTTTTAATTTACAGCCATTCACTCTTTTTTTTCAATTATCTTTTTTTTTTTAAATAACCAAATAAATTTTAAAAGATTAGATAAATGTAAGGAAATTAAATAAATACAATTAAAGATAAACAACAAATAAGCAAGATAAAATAAGTAATAAAATAAAATGAAATGGATAAATATAAAATATATAGCTAAACAAAGTAAAAACATAATTTTAATAATTAGACTTAAATCAAATCTGAGCCTAACTAATTTGAGCCTTTGGCCATGAAATTAAATCAAGCCTGGTTGATTTAGACTTCGGACTAAATTAAGTGTCTATATAATTAATTTAATATTAATTTAATAAAAATATTATAGTAATTTTCATAAAATACTATATGTCAAATTTTCATAAAATAAAGGCCAAAGCGTTTTAATAATTTCATATGGATTTAATTTTATATCTTGTTAAAATTTAATATGTAAGTTAATATGCACATTATAATAATTTTATTTAATTATGATAAGAGGGCATTCTCATAATTATAGTAAGAGTGGTATTATAATAATTATAATCAATCATGATAGAAGGACATTTTCATAAGAAAGGTATTATAGTAATTATCATCAATCATGATAAGAGATCACTTTTATAATTATGATAGGAGATGCGTTATAATAATTTTGACCGAGGGTTATTTCCATAATTATGGTAAAAGAGTATTATAGTAATTTTATCTAACTATGAAAGGAAGGGCATTATAATAAATTTGAACATGTGTCAGTTACTAATCAATTAATTATAAAAGGCATTATAGTAATTTCTTTATGAAATTATTTTTAATATATTGAGTAGATTTATTTTATTATAATAATTTAATATATAGTTAAGTTTTATGTAATTACCATGAAGTAATGGCAATGGTATATAGTAACTTAGTATATAGTTAATTTTATATTATGATAAAATTTAATATGTAATTTAATAGTAGTATCATAGTAAATTTCATACAAAATGACACATGTCATTCTATAATTATAGCAGGTGTGTCACTATAATCATTTTGGCAAATTCTGATAAGAGAGATATTTTCATAATTATGATGGGAGGTATATTATAGTAATTTTAACTAATTATGATAAGAGGGATATTATAATAATTTTAATAGATTGCTGAAAGAGGTATTATTATTATATTTTTTGACATGTGCCAAACAATTGTCAAATAATATGATGGGCAATATAGTAATTTTTGAAGATTATTTTTAATTATAGTTAGCTAATTATGAGAGATATAGTATTTTAGTAATTATGGTAAGATGGATATTATAATAATTTTAGTCAATTATAGAGGCAGGAATTTTATATAAATATGTAAAAGCCAAAGCCTCTAACCAAAAGAAAATAATCTAATGTGAATAATTTACATTTTTGACACATAGACAATTTTAAAAATTAACATGTGTTCAAAATAAATTGTACATTTAAAATTTAAAATTTAATAGTAAAATAAATTTAATTTCAAATATCTTATTTCAATTATTATAAAACATATTCAACGATTCTTATTAACACTTATAAAATTATTGCCATTTACTTTTGAATAATTAATTGGCTAAAATAAATTAAGAATCAAATAAAAAATAATAGTATTTTAAATTGAGAGTAATTCATGTTTGACAATTAGAATAATTAAATATAATGTGTATTCAATGTTCTCAAGAGAAATGAAAGGAGAGATTTTGAAATTAGTGTAATAATGATAATAAAATTAATTTGATTTGACATTCTAAATTTAATTTTAATTGATTTAATCATCAATTGATTTGAGTAAATTTACTCCTAATCAAAAAGTTTTTAAAATATAAAACATAAACTTTTCAAAATAAAAGCTAAAAACATGCTAATAATTAAATAATTTATTATAATTTATTTGCTTAAATTATAAATAGAGAATCATCTTATACGAAGATTATTAAGTTCACCAAAACCCTCCAAATGCATTTGTTTAATTGTGATTAGGCAAATCTTTACTCAAAAAATTTCATTGAATCTTTTATATAACAACGAATGATTTTTTTTTAGTTATTTTTAATTTGATTTAGTTTTTTACTCACTGTTAACAATAAAATTGTATTGTTTTTACTTTAGGTATTGTTCTCTTTTGTTTACTTTTTTCAACCAATAAATGTTTCTACTTTATTGTATTTGGTATTACATCTCTTTTGTTTATTTTTAATACGAATTCAATTAAACTCTATTCATAATCTATTCATTCTTAATGATCCTAAGTCATTTACTCTTTTATTAACTTGAATTTCATACTAGCATGAATCTCTCTTTGATTTCAAAATATTATATTTAAAATTTTTATAATACAACAAAATAAAAATCTCATATTTAATGAAACAAAGAAGAAAACATAAGTTTTTTTTTTTTACTTTCACTTTACGATTTTACCTTCAATTTATAGTTTTTTTAATATCACATTTATTTATGTTTAATATATTTGGTTTTATTTTATTATATATAGTTTTTGTTTAATTTTCTTAATTAGCATGAATCAACAGCAAAATTTTTTTGGTACAATAGCATAATTTTAAAATTAAGATATTAATCGCTTTCACTTATGCTATGAATGAATGCCTTTTGTCAACAATTTTGTCATGATCAACTATTTGGTCGTGGTTAAATCAAATGCTATTAAATAAACAATTAAATAAGAAATATGTGGTTTGTTTAATGTGTATTTTCTAATATATGCATCATTGTTTGATAATTTAAAAATTTTTTAAATAATAACTTAGATAAATTTTGCTATTAGACAAATTTTGCTATTTAATATCCAACATGATAAATAATAAACAATCAAATAAAATTTATTATTAATGAAAATTATTAGAAGACAAAAGTAGCTCTTTATTTTTAATTTGATGATATATAGTAAGATAAGTTATACAAGTTATAAGGTAAGTAATATACTTATTTTCACCAAATAATTCAAAAACATTGATTCAATATAATTTTTTTCAGCATTTTATCATGCACTTTTTTTTATAATATTTGTATTCTAATTTTTATATTTCAATTCATACAACTGCATATGCTAAAAATATTTTGTTAAATAAGTGTCAAAATAATTCTTTTGTCTTAGCCCGTTAAATTCTATTTATAAATTTGTTAAATTTTTGTGTTATATTTTCCCCAAAAATGTCAATAAAAATTATTTTCAAAAATATTTTGCAAAACTTTTCTAATTTTGAAGAAAACAATTAAACCTTAAAATAAATAGTTGGTTTTTTTTCATTGATTTTTTTCTTATAATCTTATGTTGATTTAAAGTATTTCAATAATTTTCTTAATTAGGTCAATCAAATGTTAATTTTGATTAAAGGTTCTCTAATCAAATAAATATGGTGTTTGTTTTGATACATAACAATTGTTTCTCATTAATTTCTTTTGAAAATTTATGTGTTGTAATTTTAATTCAATTGTATCTATTAAATTCTAAATTTATAATAAAAATGAGATAAATATGAATATTAAACTACTAATTTATAGATACCAATAGGTTAAGTTCTTCTAAATAAAATATTACGAGGAATCAAGTTATATCAAAAAAGTTTTACATCTTTTTATATCTTTTTTTTATTATTGATTTCCATAAATTTAATAGATAAATAAAAAAAGCATAATTTTATCCCTTAGACATATTGAAATTAATGTTTAAAAAAATATAAAATTAAAAAGTTTTAATATTGGTGTAAGTTTATCTCTTTCTATACATATATATACATACACACACACACACACACACACATCATCCATATTATAAAATGAGATTTTTAACATTATATATTATTATAAAAATATAATTTCTTATCAAAATTTCTAAGTATAATATACTATTTTTTTAAATAAATAATTCTTTACTTTTTGAATAATTATGCATGTAAAAAAATATAATTGATTTGTTTCTTTGCGCATAACATGGGTTTAAAATTAGTATTATTGTACTTTTGAACCTAAGTCAAACAATGGTCAAATAATTGGAAGGGTAATATAGTAATCTTAAGAAAACTATTTTAATTATACAGTATAGGTTGTTCCTCTAACAAAATAATGCCCCTTAATACGCACCGTTTCTGTTTGACCAAAATGAATATTTTGACATTTTTACCCCGATAATTTCATTAATACCAAATTGCACTTCTGCCCAGTGGTTGCTTTTAAGTTTTAACTTGCATTTTTTCTTCCCTTGAGATTTTGACGAATCGGCAGCGCAACGGGGAGGGATCGGGCGTAGCTAGGGTTTGAAAGGTGCATCCTTGAAATTTATAAATTTCGAAATTCCCTTTGATTTATATTACTACAATTTCTTCAATTGTTGTGTTTTATCTTTGATCCGTTTTTATAGGATTGTGAAGCCGATTTCCAATTTTAATAGGATAATCATTCAACTAGGGTTTATCTACGTTCCACATTTCAATTTCTCATGTTTCCGGATTGTTAATTATTTCCTAAGAGTGTTTCTGAAGCATTTTTTATCTTTTCTTTTTGAAATGCAACGTGAAGGCCATGGCAGGATCAGGGAGTTCGATGCTGTATTCCTTTCTTCTATTTACTGTCATTCTCTCGCTCCAAGAGATGTATCGAGGGAAGTTAGCGTCGTCGGAGCTGTTTACAATTCTAGGAGGATTCATCAGCTCCCTCTTGTTTCTTGTGTCACTAACAGTGAGTCCTAGATGCTCCAAATTGACTCCTTTTCTTATTAATTCATCACCATGATACGCAATCTGCCGTTTTATTTTCTGATTTATGGTTTTAATCTGATTGTATGATGTATTTGTCAACATTGTAGAATGTAGACTCCAAATTTACAAGCTGAGCTCTGAAAACCGAATAGCATTCAGTTGTGCGACTTATAAAACTTGATTAGCATAATAATCTGTATTTTTCTTGACTTTTGTTATTTCAGTTCATTGGGAATTTCCAGGAAGCATGTGGGATAAGGACTGGCTGGGGTGCTGGTAAGTACACAGAGGCTTCTTCTTTTTTTTTTTTAGTTTTTTATGATTATTTATTATTAACAAAGGTCAGAAAGAATGAATCTTTAACCTTTTATTGTGCTCTGCCCATTTCACTTTCCTTGGTGAAAATGTAGCATGCATACCATGATGCTTAATCTATTGCAATTAAGTTTGCACACATGTAGCTGTACTTTCATGTTCCATGAGGTTCACTACTGAAAATTAAACATTAGTAAGAAGCTCAGAAGGTTTAATATTGAAAAGCTGTGATTTCCTTGTGTTGTCAACACCAGTGAAGAATCTGACATTAACCTTTTTATGGGAAGAAACCACTGTTTATTTTCTAGCACATTTTACAATGCATTGGGTACTCTGCTACAGAATTTGTTGTTTGGTAAAGGGCTTAACTTGAATTGCTCTTATTGTTTTCCTTTTGGCAGTCATATTAGCGGAAGCCATTGCACTGATTGCTGCTAGCACTGTTCACCGAGTTTGTATCACAACATGGTAATGTTAAAGATGTGACTCTATCTTCATTTTACTGCATGTTCCTGCCATGCTTGTTTCATGAGAAATTTTTTAAATCCATTAACAGCATGGTTTGGTAAGTTTAAATTATGTGGAAGGAAGAACATGTTTATCAAATCCACTTATAATAAAGAAGCAACCCAATGTCAGGGAGAAAGTGGTAGTTACTGTTAAACATGTCTCTCATAGACTTATGGTGGAGCCAAGGTGATAGGTTTGAACCTTAGACAAATTGTAGGCTTATAGTCACACACATGAAAAATGAGGAAAAGGATGATTCCTAATAAGTTTGTTCCATGCTGTGAAAATTAAGGGCCAATCTGAGGATAAAAACCTGAAATGCTTTTTTTAATGGGAAACAAGCACAGCTTGCTTGGTATGAAACATTCAGTTTGTGAAAAGAAATTTACAAATAATATGAAATGATTGGTACAACTAATGGCGAATCAGCATTGTGTTCTACAAATGTATATACTAATGACTGTTTTTATATTTTGTGTTCAATGCAGTTTCTTGTTCTCAGCTGGATTACTTTATGAGATAAACAACATTTCAGGAGTGATGCTTTCTAAGAGTGAATTGAAAACAAAGAGGCACTGAGTTGAAATATCATTCCTGTTCACCGAAAAGATATTTGTTTAGAATGTTACCTTCCTGTGGACTAGTAGTAATTAATAGTCATCAATTATGTGAATTTAGAAATTTTCTTGCCAACATTACTGCTAGTCACTTGTTATTGGCTCTGAAGGACTTATAGATGGGTGGATGGGACACAGATCTTCTCCCCACTCCCTCCCTCACCTTTATTTCATTTGATGAAGAATTTTGAGAATCGTTATTGTTTTCTTGTCTATTTTGCTTTGGTGCCATTTGTGCTAGCTAATTTAGTTTTGGAGAATATAATGAAGTTAATGAAACCAAAGTACTAGTCAATTCCCGCTTGAATGCAAGCAAATAGGTGGTGCATGATCATGCTGGCATGGCGATACGGATGGCAACGTGAAGATGGGTTGAAGAACTTAAAGAGCCTTGAACTGTGAATTGGAGTGTGTGTATGAGTGTGTGTGCATGCCATATTGATAAATGTGGTAAACATGGCAATGGCCCCTACACATGGTAGACGGATCTTGACTTCAAGATTCTAAAGTAAACTGAGAATGAGGTGAAGCGTTATATTAAATTTCCCGAACGAATGGTTATAAAAAATGGTGAAGCGTTGTATTAAATTTTCCTAATGGATGATTGGATTAAAGAGTGTGCTAGTCTTTGTTTTCTGCATTTAAATTGGTTTGGAGATGGTAAGAAGGTAATTATTTTTTATGAGTTTGTTAAATATGATGTAGGTAAGTCTGTTTTAATCATCTGAAGGGGGGATGTATTGAGTGAAGTTAAAAAATCTCTTGCAGCTAAATTAAAAAAGATAAAAATAAAGGCAGAAATTTGACAATTGTCACCATCGTCAATACAAGAAAGGTATTTCATTAAAAAAAAAAATTCAAACATTGCACCAAAATCACGTGTAATTAACTACTATTAATTACTCTAGAAAATGTTTAATCCGAAGAATAACATGCCTTGACTCGTTGAGCTCATGGTTACTTGAAACCAAGACAATCTCAAAACCATCTTTGAAAGTTTGAATTGAAAACTCATAAGTAACTTGTTTGATTGGAAACTTATGAACAAGATACATATATAGCAAAGAACGAAGGCTAATAAGATTAGTTAATTTGACTATTGGGCAACTATGTATACTTTTCATTTTGTTATCCTAATTTCTAATCCATGAATCCACTCGAGTTTTGGGTCAATGGCAATTTGTATGCCTAGAATTTGTCTATGGTGGCTGGTGCGGTGGCTTTCCAAGCCTAGCCCCAAGAACAGAATCAATCTATACTATGAACATGTTTGAGCTAGATTTTGATCTATTACTTGTTGATGCACTACTCCCCAAGGACGATCTGAAGGACTCATGACTAAGTGGCAATGGCCTGTCTGGCAATTTGGGAATGTCAATATCACCCTCTAACATCTTCAGAGCCTCAGCAATTTTTGGCCTGAAAGCTACCATGACATGAGCACAAAGAATCCCCACCCGAACAAACCTTTCCATCACCCCTTTGGGCCCTTTATCTCTTATTGATTCATCCAAAATTTCTTGCACGTTCCCTGATTTCGCAAGCTTCCAAGCCCAATCCGTGATCAACAGATAGGATGAATTCGATGTGTCAAGTACTTTCCTTCCACTCATAATTTCAAGAATCACAATTCCAAAGCTGTAAACATCACTTTTCTCTGTTAATTGTCCATACAGAGCATATTCTGGTGCCAAATAACCATGTGTGCCAGCAACCCTGGTGGTGAGATGAGACTGCCCTTCCAAACTCTGCTTCGCTAATCCGAAATCGGCAACTTTTGCTTTCATTTCTGAGTCTAGAAGTATGTTAGTGGCCTTAATGTCTCTATGATAAATGGATGGTTGAATTCCATAGTGCAAGTAAGCTAGACCCCTAGCCACATCAAGAATTATATTCTTGCGCTGAGGCCAACTTAGTTGCAGCCTGCTAAAATCATTGAACAAATGCTCACCAAGGCTGCCATTCGACATGAAATCATAAACAAGATATCTTCTTCTACCTTTCGCCATGTCACTTGTGACACAACAACCACGAAGAGAAAGAAGATTCCTGTGCCTTATTTTGCTTATGATCTCAACTTCATTGGAAAACTCTTCATCGCCTTTTGAGTCCAAATCAAGAATCTGTTTCACTGCAACCAAAGTACCATCTGCAAGAGTTCCTTTGTGCACAACTCCATATGTACCTTGGCCTACCAAATTCTTTTGAGAAAATCCGTTGGTGGCTCGTTCGAGCTCTGACAGACGAAACCATTTGGCACCTGAATTTGGTAAGACGCTTGCCCTGAAACTGCTAACAAATCTTCTATGAGGGGCGTTTCTCCTGTTCTTCTTATCCCATTTCCTGTACAAGACAATTAGCGTAAAAGCAAGCAAAACACCAATAAAAGCACCCAAGAAACCAAAAACCAATCTTAGCAACGTTTCGCTGCTTAATTTTTTCTTTGGATTCTTTTCTGCTGAGCTATCCAATGGTAAGCCTAGTATGCAGCCGGCTGAGCCAGGATCCTTTGGACCAAAATCATTAATAACACCAATAGCATACAAGACGATGAAGTCATAGCATTTTGTGGCATTTGGATCAAGACGCAATAACTTGGATAACACATTGTTGCCAGCTTCAACACAGGATCTGCACTTTAGCCCAGTCACATCACCTTTGCAAGCAGTATCTAATAAAGTCACAGAACCAACCTTTTCAATCCAATCTTGGATTGTTATAATTCCAGCACAACTTGAAATGTTGCTAACAAACTGGTTGGAGTTCTGCATGCAAGAAGTGACTAAAGATGGCTGTATTGACAAGGCAGCAAGCTTGTTCTCAAAATCAGACACACAAGAAGATGCAGCCATTGGATTTGGTAACTGAAAAATGGAGGTCGCCTTAAGATGCTGGGCAGTTCCTATGCCAAAGAGACTGATGAGTGCTTGGCAGCACTGCGTTCCATTAGTGTCGAAGCATGTGGACTTGTCCCATGGGAAGGTTTCTACATAACTGAAATCAGTTGGACATGAAGAAATGTTTGAATCAATGCAAAAACTGGTGTAGAAAAAGAGGAAGAGAAAGGAGGTAAAGAAAAGGGAGTTTCCCATGTTGGATTCCTAATGTGATATTGTCTAAAACAATGGCGTTGGGACATATTGGACCTGATTTTATAAAGGGTTGGTTATTTAAGCGGAGAACTATCAATCTTGGCCGCCGCTGGTCAAATACACGGTTTAAGAGTTTGATACGTTGTTGGTGGTCAAAGTCAGTGTAAAATGTAGTAATAGTGGGAAATCTAGTCCTGAAATTTTGTTTCATGAAATTCATTACTATTATTAAGACTTGAGCCCTTGGCCATGGTTCACGGGTCGGTTAAATGTTCAAACTGCAAAATTTTGAACATATTAAACTCAAATTTTAATTCACGATTACTTTAAAATATTATATTTAAATTTTAATTCAATTAACTAAAATAATAATTTGAGAGACGGCATCCAATAAACTTAAATTTTAAAATTTAATATTTATAATTTTTTTAATTTTTAAACTACAAAATTTTTTATAAAAAATTTATAATTTATATATGTTTGTCTTATTTTCTCTCCAAAAAAAAAAAAAAAGGGTTTGAAATTGATGCAGTAGGTTACCAAAACTTAATGGATCAACTAGTCAATGACATCTCCCTTGGATAGCGGTTGGAATGGGCTATTGCCTTTGTGGTATGATACCAAAGACAAATAAATCATAATTTAAGTTCAGAGATGCTGTTGGGATGTAAAGTCTAACTTTTAGGCTGCAGCTTGTGTTGTTCTTTAAGAAAGTAAGAGAAATTTTATTGTTGACAATTACCAAAACTTGATTTAAAGCAGAGGTGTTTATGGCCGGTGAGATTGGGTAGGTCGGGTTGATATTAATACTTTATATATTGTTGATATTAAACTTTATTTAAATTTAAAATTAGTTTTTTCGAATTTAGTTTAAATTAAAAAATTAAATTTTAAACACATCCATTAAATTTAAATTTATATAATAAAATAATTAAAAAAGTGATTAAATTAAATTAAATTAAAATATATTTAATTTATATATATCTAAATAAAATTAAAAATTAAAAATATTTAATTTTATTTTAATTTATATATATGAATTAACTTATATATAAAATAATATATATATGATTTTGAATAAAAATTGAATTAAATTTAAATTTTAAATATTTGTCTAATATTTTTTTAAAAATTTAAATGTATTTAAAATTTATGTTTAAATTTGTTTAACAAATTTAAATTTTTTATTTAAACTTTATTAAAATTGGAACAAAACTTTCAAATATGGATCGAGAATCTGATCCTTTGATCTAGCAATTAGCAGCAAAGTTAGCTCTTTTCCATTGTTCCAATTCCCAAGGCAAAAACAAAGTAAAAAGATTTTTTTTTTTTTTTTTTGACATTGGAGATGCTTGGGTTGGAATACAACTGTTTGAATAAAAAAAAAATGCACTACTCATTGAGCATAGGCTTGGATTTACTGCGTCCAGGTGTCATTCTTGTCGTAGCCAAAGCCGACAACAATGGCAAGAACCAGGCAGGCTCGCATCTTAGCTAGTACAATCAATGATTTCCGTAGTTACTACTTTTTTTTTTTTTTTTTTGTATTCCAAGCTTTACTCTTGTGGGATTCTATTTTATGCTTTGATTGAACGTACATATTGTTTCCACCAAAAACAAACGAATAAAAAAAGAAAATATAATGGATTCAAAAATTTTTTTTTAATTCGTTCATTTATAATATATATAAAAAATATTAGTAAATTTATTAATTTTAACAATAAAAAATATTTAAGATATTTATTTTTAATTTAAAAAGGTATTAAAAAAAGTTAAGATATTAAAAATATTTTTTTAATTTTATTATTTTTTAATTTTGAAAGGTGTCCATGAACATTTTTTTCATAAAAATAGATCAATTGCTGAAATTACTAATAAATTTTTTTAATTTTATAAAATTCATAATATTAATAATCAATTATTGTATTTAATATAAGAATATTATTATAAGAATTTTTCTAACTAGTGTTCTTAAATTATTATCTAAGATTAGTCAGTTTATAATTTGAGAATTAAAAAAAAAAATTCTCAAAAGGAGTTTTAGAAATTTAAAATTTTAAAAGAATTAATAAATAGACTAGTATATAGCATGATTTAAATGTGAGTGTGTCCGAATTTCATTCAAGGCAGGACACGCATGACACTCACACAATGCTACGACCCTTTCACATTATTAAACATTTTGACGTTTTCTATATAACTATCGCTCTCCTATGTTTCCCTGTGATTCTATTTTTGATTATTTGGATGAAAAACAAGAAGACTGTACCATATGGTTTTATGTTGGATAATAAGATTGCGAAAATGCTTGAAATTTTAAACAATATTTTATCCAAAATTTTACTTTGAAATTACACATCATTTGTTAATTTCATGAATTAATATTATAATTTATTTTTTTATATAAGTGATATTAAATTACACATGTGAAATATAAAAATAAAAATATTATGTTATTTTTTGTATTAAATAAATAATTTAAATATAAATAATTTAATGAAAGATATCATTAAATAATTTTATATTTATGTAATAAACAAAAATAATTTATCTTTTTATTAAACTAAACATAAAAATCATATATTACTTAAAATCTGTTAAATAAAGTGATCAAGAAAAATCATTTTTTAACGGAATCTAACCTCCGGAACTAAACGCCCCCAACATTTTTTTTAGTTTTCAGTAAACGCCCTTAAAATTAAAGTGAAAAAAAAAAAAGGCCGGATATGATTGCCCACCACTCACCCATTGAGTGTGGGTTCCACAATTACCGACTCACCAACTCGAAAACCATCAGGAACAGGAAGAAAAAGATGGGGGAGAATCAGAGAAAAGACTTTTCCTCTCTTCTTCTACAAAATTCCCCCCTGAAAATTTTCCTCTTCCCAGTTTTCTTTATCAACCAATTCCCGCCATTTGCCTATCTCTCTCTCAGCTTAATTTCCACTTCTGAAAAAAAAATTGGTTTCCTTCTATAAACTCCCTATTCAAATTCACAGATTTTTTTAATATCAAATTTTCCATTTTAGATTGCCTTTCGCCGTGGATCTATCAAAATTCATATCTGGAAAACACCCATATATTTGATTTACTTAAAACACCGATCCGATTTTTTTTTTTTTAATAAAGAGAGCGAAATTATGGACGACTTTGGCGTTCTAACAGAGCGCTATTGTTTAAAACCGCAAGGAAAATCGGCTCCAATGTCGCAAGCCAAACGATCCAACTCCACGGCCACCGCAACCACCAACGGAAATTTCGGGTTCGAATCAGGTTTGATCAGAAACTCCACGTCCTTTTCTTCAAACTATTCATGGAATTCGAGTGCCAGTAACGGCTCTTTTCTTGATGATCACGACTTTTTTCCGAAGCAAAACTCCCAAAATTCTTTTGGTTTCCCCGACGATTATGATTACGAATTTGGTGCTTTTGAAAATCCCACGACGAAGAATACGAGTAATAATAGTAGTAATGGATCTTCATTTGATTTGGCTTCAATGTTGTTGAATTCTGATCCGAAATCTTCCTCTACGAATTCTTACGTTGTTGATGATTTATTTGGAGGAATGTCTGGCTCGCAATACGCAAGTAATGATGATATTTTTAGGTCTTTTGCCTCGTCCACAAGGCAAAGGGTTCGGTCGGTGACTTGCTGGGTGATTTTAGTAGTGTGGCGGCGAAACTGAAGAGTTCTAGAAGGAATGGTTCGTGGGAATCGGGGAAAAATGAGGCTGATGTTGATGATTTGATACCCGGGTTCGGTGGAAGCAGTGCTCCGGTTAATAGGTACCTATAATTACTTTAAATGAATATATATATATATATATATATAAATGGATATATTTTGCTGCTTGATTAGTGTTGGTTTAAGTTTTAAAGTTTTAGCTGAATCTTCTGCTGTTAGACTCTGTATTATTTGTGTGTTGTAGAAAATGGAGATGAATAATAATGACATTTAGAGTTAAGAAATCGTGCATTGGTGGGATGTAGGATAATAGTTCTTTTCATGATTGCGATAGTTTCTTTATCTGATATGAAATTTTTGTTTTTGGGGATTAGTTTGGATACAATAGGTCTTAAGTTTTTAAGAATGCAAGATATCATAAAGCATGGGCAATTTTATGGCTCTGTGTTTATGTTTTGTTGAGGGAGATAAATATTGGTATAAAACTCATGATGTTTGAAACCATTTAATCCATTCTGCTCTAATTTATGTTTCTATGACTATAAAATATAGGAGTAATATTTTGTTCTGAGCCAATTTGAATGCATGAAGGTTACTCCACACCATCCAACCGTCAAGTGAAAGATTTGAGCACTGTTTGTGTTCTAACATTTGCTTTTTTTTGGGGAGGGGTGGTTGGGGTGGGGAAGGGGGATTCCAACTTGCTCCTTGAACGGGGGAATATATGCACATACCATTTAGTCAAATGCTCAAGTGCTAAAATTTCCTTGTTAAGTATTATTCCTCTCATATTTGAAAATTTTGTAGCTTAAGGAAGTACTTAGAGTAAGTTAAGTTAATTGATTGGACAACTGGAATAACCATTTGAGAATTAATACTGCTAATATACCATTGTTTATTGTTTTGGAGCCTGTCTTTTATCAATTCTACCAGTTGTAAATACTGCTTGATGTTTAAATTTCCAAATATTGCAACTGATCAAAGCTTACATACTGCTTTGATGGGCAGTTGGGATGAAACTTACGTTATTGATATGAAGGGAAAGGGCTTGGAATCGCATGATGATAGAAAAGCCTTACAGTTTCAGTAAACTTAAAAAAATGCTCCCATCACTTTGACTACTGTATTGTTGGCTTCTAAAACATAAAATTTATGCCACTTGCCATCTTTTACGTGTCATACATTCATAGGAAGTATTGCAATAATAAAGTAGTGAGCTAGTGGTCCAAGTTAGGAAGGAAAAGATATTGAAGCTATTATCTTCTGACTCTTTTTTTTTTTTTTTGGAGACAAGCTTCTGAATGTATTATTTAGTATTTGTCTTCAGCAATAACTTGGATCTTTTATCATACATTTGGTGTACAAATTTGCTGTTGGATATGCAACATAGTCTTTTCAATATGATTATGTTGTTAGTATGTAAAGATTGAATCTTTATTTGAAATTTCATTTTTTTCTATGCAGGATTAATGTTAAGGCAACCAAATCGACCTTCAAATCAACAGAGGAACCATTTATAGTATTAGAGTCGGATTCGGGCTCAGAATATAATTCCTCACAAGCCCCCACAGACCCACTGGAAAAATTCAGCATGTTTAATCAATCTGAAGGAACAAAACCTCGTGGTTCTACAAATGGTTCCTCATCATTGAGGCGTCCCCCAAATCCAGCACAAGTTTTTAAGGCAGATAAAGGTTCTTCTGCATCCATTAGCCAAAATAAAGGTCAATGTGTATTCTTCTTTTGCCATTCCATCACTAGTTTTGTAACATTGAGAGGATTCATGATGCAGTAAAGAGTTCAGGTGCATCTCCAATAGACAAACTTGAGGACTTTGCCATGGGGAGAGTGCATAATAAGTCTAGTAGATCTAAAGAAGCTGAAGATGCTGCAAAAAAGACTCAACAGAATAAAGGAGATGATCTGGAATCCTTTTTTGGTGTGAGTTCCAGATCAAATAGTGCACCAAAGGCAAAGGCAACAACTTTGGTGAGCACTATAGATGTTAAAAGTACCACCAGATTATGAAAACTGCAGAATTGTATTGATATAAATTCCTTGTATTCTTTTCAGGATCCCATGTTTGATGCAAATATACACAACAGACAGCTGAAGACATCTGCAGGGGCATCATCCACTGCAAAGAAGGCTTCTTCTGCTACCATGACAAAGGGAATAGATGACTTTTCCTTTATTTTTGAAGGTATATAAATGTTATTGCTGAAATATTGAAATGGACTATTTCTAGCTCTGGAAATTATCTTTGCACCGTATCTCTTTTATGTTAATCTTTGTCTCAATTTTTGTTCCCAAAAGCTGCCCCAATGTTTGGAGAGTTTGAGGAAGTTTCAGGTGAAAGTGAACAAAGACGAAGAGCCAGATTGGGACGTCACCAAAGGACCCAGGATCGAGTGGTGTGTATATATTTTACCTTTATTTTAGCTTATTTTTATTCTTTAATGGTGGGCTTAAATTAAATTAGTAGAAGTATAAGAAGAAAGTCGCTGATGAGAAAAGAAGTACATAGATGAGTCAACGTTGATATGCATGTTTTTTTTTTTCACACTCATGCTTACACGCTCACATAGACACGCACAAGTGAAGACTGAGCAAACTAAGGGCAGCAAGGAGGTGGCAACCCAGGCTCAAGGCTAAGTTTCCAGGACAAAATTTCAAAGGAATCCCAAGCTTCTTGCTCTTCCATGGCTGGTGATTAAAGCAGTTTTAGTAATCATAAAATGTGATAAAAATGTGTCCTGCATATGAGGATTTCCTTGATGTTTGTCACTATGCTTCATCTTATACTTTTTTGGCCATCTTTGAGCTTGATACTCAAATTCTACTCACCTGACTAACTGACTATTTTGGGCCTGTGGTGAGACTTACCTGTGTCATCTTGATTTTAAATATGCATCATGTTCTAGCAAAAATGTCAGGCAAACGCTTCTGTTGGCACCTTTATTGTTATATCCTTCTCTTCTTTTTTTTTTTCATTTTAAAGATTATAATTTATTTCTAAGATATGGCTCAACAGGTGGATTATTTTTGTGCTAGGCAAGAGCAGTTGCTGATATGAACCAGCGTGATCGTCAAACACAGAATGAGCAAGAAGAGAGGCATGTAAGTGGTTCAATTGATGCATTAGTTGTAGATTAGAGAAAATGTTTTTAATTCTTCATGCTTATTTGCATTTTACCTGCTTTGGTACCAATTTCATATCATATGTCATGAATTCTTGAATTTTGATTACTTAATGGTTCACCATAATCTTAATTTTCATAGAGGCTTGCTGAAGCTATGGATTTTGAGATAAAACGCTGGGCTGCAGGGAAGGAAGGCAATATGCGTGCACTTCTATCATCATTGCAACTGGTGTGTTCATCATCATTTTCCTAGTCTCTGCATTGACCCCTAATAAGAAATTATCAGTTTAATGTTTTGGAATCATTATTCAATGTGTAGAATTTGTGGCTTCTTGGTTTTGCATGACTAACCTTTTACTTTAACAAACAGGTACTTTGGTCTGAATGTGGTTGGGAGCCAGTTTCACTGACTGATTTAATAACCTCTGGCTCTGTTAAAAAGGTTTATAGAAAGGCCACATTATGTGTACATCCTGATAAGGTTCAGCAGAAAGGTGCCACTCTCGAACAGAAATATATTGCTGAAAAGGTTTTCGATATTCTCAAGGTACTGTATGAATCTCACTACTACCAAGAAGGAATTATTTATTTTAACATGAGTTGTATCCTCAATGGCCACATCGCCTCAGTCCTTTTTGAAGGACTAGATAGATCAAGGTTCAAAACTCTGATGTTTGGTGTGGTGGGTCTAGTCTACCAAGTACTTGCCCATAGGGCTTCGTCTTTGAGTAAGTCTTTGAGTAAACTTGTTTCATTGGGATGGAATTTTCATTTTGAAAAGTCAGAGATAGCACTTGGTAGATGGTAGTAGGTGGCAGTCCTCAATGTGGACATGGGTCATCTGAGTTTTAACGTGCCCTGCCCTTGGTTTGTAGACCTAAAGTGTTCTGTCTTTAATGTGTTTATTACATACCCACCTACATGACATTACTAGCCCAAGCTTCTTATGGATTCATATTTTTCTTCACATCTGCCTAAGGTTTTGTGCTACCTCTATTCTTCCCTTTTCAGTTTTTCTAATATCAACCATTTGTCTTCTTTTTCTTCTTCCTTCACTCTGTTCTCTTCTGTGGTCTTGCTTTTGATCTGAAAATGTTTCATATAGTTAAAACATATAACTATAGATTATTTTGCATGATAAAACAAAAAACGTCAACTGTTTTCTGTTTCCTGCCTTTTCTGGTACATAGTTAAATGTGTGATGCCAGATATCCTGTCTTTAATTGTTTTCTTTGTCTTCTAAGATACCAAACAAACATCAAGCTTACAATGTCCAATAAGTAGTTCATTTGAGAGTTTTGGATGAAAACAAATAGAAAGATAGGCTTAACTCAAGGGGAGGAAAGGAAGAGAAAAGACAACATTCTTTTTAATTTTTAGTTATCTGGTTTTATAATCATTTTAATATAAACTATAGTTATCTTTTACTTTGATCATTCTAAATACTTACTAGACTATTGTTGACAATAGTTCTTATGTTTTCCATATTTTATTTTATATGCATTGAAACAGGAAGCTTGGAACAAGTTCAACGAGGAAGAACTTTCTTAAAACCCGGAAGGTATCTCATCTGAAGAGTCAAAGTCATTTTTATTTGGCAGTCATACAGATTCGTTTCAGAGCAAAAGATTCAAGAACAGGCCCAACAGTGTTATCGTCTTGTGGCGATCACACCATTCAAGCAGCGCTTCATTGGTCACGGAACTTCTACTATTTAAAGCTACAAGGCGCTTGGTAAGGAGTAAAATTTTTCATGTATGACTGTAAATAAATGCATCTTCATGAAGTAAGTAGATTTCATAATGTTTACTGAACCTGCACCTGGCCATATATTTCTTTTCTCTATGCTAGAACTTTTTCTTCTCTTCATGTTTTCTGGTTCTAATATCACTTTTATTATTTTCATTGATTGTTTTCCACTAAGTAAGCACACACGCATCCTTTGTTGTAATTTCAGATTAATTGTGTTTTTTTTTTGTCTGGGTCTTCAATTTGTTTAATGGTTTCTCATTTTAAGTGGATGCCACTTTATTATTATTGTGGAATATATAAATTTAATGTTGATCTCTGCCAATTATAGCAGAGGTTAAAGGCATGGTATTGTCTTTGACCATACTATTTTGCTAGTATTTCTTGCCTCAAGTTCCCTTGATAGGACTACAAATTTGAACTTGCTTGATGCAGTTGGAGCCTTGGAGGTCAATTGCTTAAATAAGGCTAAAATAACCAAAAAAAGAAAAAGAAAAAGGGTTTTGAGATTTTCCACTTTATTTAAATAAGTTTTTATATTTTTTATTACACGGAAATAAACTTTTTATTTTTAATTTGTACTCAAATAAGTTTTTAATTTTTAATTTGTATTCAAATAAAATTTTAACTTTTAATTTGTATTTAAATAAATCTTTAACATGATACATTATGCATGTAAGACATTAGCTTTTTTCTAACATGAATGCTAGAAATAAAACTTTTAGCTTTTAGCTAACATAAATGCTTGAAGTATAATTTTTATTTATTTAAAGAGTCAATTTTTACTTGATTGAAGAGAATTATAAAAAAATTTGCAATCATTTCTTTGAAATAAAAGATAAGGGTTATTTGAGTATAATAAAATATAAAAACTTATTTAAGAAAAATAAAATAATTTAAAGGTTTTTTTTTTTTTAAATATTTTCACCCTTAACTAAATAAAAATGGACGAAAGAATGCCCTGGCCTGCAAAGAAGTATCATTTAAGTAACAATAAGCTATAGTTTTCTGCAAATAAGTATCTTGGAAGTAATAATATACTATCGTTTAATATAATAATAAAAAGGAAAATTTCCAAGAAATCTCTGTTGTTATTACTTCAATGGTAATACTGAAATTATAAGTGTAGAATCCTGAAATTTGCCAAGTCATTACGTCAATGACACACTGAATCATTTGTTGATTTCTAGTAGCTACATGTTCAGTCCATCCCTTCTTGTTAAGAAAGAATCATTATCAAATCATAATTGGGTTCGGAAAATTAATCACCAATGTTTATTTCTTATACAAATAATAACTACTACTTCATTTGAAAATGAAATATGAAACAGTAACATAAAAGGATTCCGAATCGCCCTATTCTTGGAGATTCTTCTCTAAACCTCCATTATCACTGTTAATCAAGATCAAACAGAAATATAAAAATGAAGAAACCTATAAATTTTACTATTATTAGGCAAAGTGGGAGAAGGAATCCCTAGGAGACCCACTAATGACTCCTAACAGCCCACTACTCTTCCGGGGCCTACCACTCACGAGCTCCTAAAAGCCACATCTTGGCCGCTGGGGCGGCTATGTCCTTCCCCTGATTAGTCACTACTGCCGCTTAACTTCCATCACCAGCAACTGGAACTTTACATGCACATCACATGGGTTATCATTTATGACCTGTTATGCAGATATATAATAGTAGTAGGATTCGTAGGGATCAATTTGTGGAAGGAAACATGAGATAACCTTTGTTAGTTTAGAACCAAAATGACTAGAATTTATCATGGCCTTTTGATTTACTCGTGATACTGAATTAAAAGGATTAATGTTATGAAATAATCTTAAATTATAAGAAAATATTTTATGTAATATTTAATTTTAAAAATTTTTAATATGATATTTAAATTATAAATTTATTAAATAATTTAATATTTACTTTTAATGTAATTTACTTCAAACGATAATATAATGACAAACAATCTTTTAAATATCATTAATTAATACATTCATAATTTAAATATTAAATTTAAAATTTTAAAAATCACATTAAGTCTTTTATTATATTTTGAGGCTATTTCTCAAAATACTTGATTAGACTTTTAGTGAATATAGCATTATATAATAAAAAAATCTTAGTTATTAATGACAGTTTCTCCAACTTTTTAGTGTTTACAACACCTGAATTGGTGGCTTTTTCCGGGGTTAAAGTAATATAATCTGTCGGTCTTTGTTGCTTTCAAGACTGGGAAGATCAATTTCTTAAGCGCTATTGAAAGCGAGCTTCTTTTCACCACCTGGCTTAATTGATGGGAAGTAACCATTAAAATCTGATCCTTATGGTCATGACTAGTAATAATCACCCATCTCTTTGATCCTCACAAAACAAGTGTGCCACAGTTCAACTTTTTAGTACTCTTGCCCACCATCTGATCACTGGACCCTTATTTCGGTTTTCATTGTTAGATCGGATGCATTCCATTCCAACACTGATGTCAGTATTGAATAGAAGAAATAGGCACTTTCAATGGTGTTGGTGTTAATGGAGTTGCCGTATTACAGAAAACAGGTTTCCTTTTCCTTTTATTAAGTTGAAGGACATTTTTCTTTCAAGTTTCAATCGTTTCAAAAAATAAATCAAGGATTTCCCACAAAGTGTTCTGTAATTTTGGCATGCAGTAACATTTTTAAATTGCTAGCTTTAATTTTACAATAAAAGTTCAATAAATTCAAGGAAAACAGTAGCAATTTGTGTATTCGTGCCATTTAAAGTATTAAAATTTATGTATTTATATCATATTTTATACAAAAATAATGTATTATAATTCGTGTTAATACGAAAACATAAAAAAAATTTTTTTGTTTCATTAAATCTATATATAATCATTATAAGATTTTAAACCGTATCAACTTCGTATATATTTTTTATTATATTATATTTATGTCATGTTATCACGTTGTATTTTAAATTGTTAAATCTTAATACTTTGTGCTCAAATTTTTCCATTTTGCATTGACATGGAAAGTTACAAGTTGAAATAGTGACCCATGACCCCATTTTGCTGAACAGTAGAGAACAAAAGAAACTGCATAGGAGTAAAGGTAATTAGCAACGACAATTCTGGCTTGATATGAACAAGAACAAGAACCTTTTTAATCCGAAAGATTAGTTTTCCTTGCCTTTTGAACTGTCCATGAATGGTATGATACCAGTTCAATTCTACTGCACTAGTAGCCGGTTGAGAAAGGCTTATATGACTGGAGATCAAGCACAATCCCAGCAACAGAACCGGCAGCTGCAGCTATAGTGATAACGAGGCAAGCAATGCTAAGGATTTGGAGGCAAAGCCATCTTGTGCTCCATTTTGGTATCTTCTTTTGTGAAATGTACATCTCAACTGGGAAGTAAACTGTGAGTGGCCAGAATCCAAGAGCCCCAAGGAGTCCAACAATATCATTAAAGAAGGGAAGAAGCATAGAGTTCAAAGTTGTTATGATCACAAAAAGTGTCCTCCAAACCAATCGGAAGAGGTTGAGATTGTAGGGGCGGAAGCCTGGAATAGGGATCTTGATCTCTTTGGTAGTGAATTCACTGTCTGGGAACTTTTCTGCAGCTGTTTTCTCTATGAAGGCAAAAAGGGGTTGGCAGTAAACTTGGTATGCACCAACAAGGTGAATTACAATAGCTGCATTAGCAATGTCAAGGAGCCAGAATGGGTTATAGAATCCAAAACCAGTGAGAAGGTTTCCAGGGGACAAGTCTCCAAAAGCAGCATAACCCATGCAACCGCACAACATGTAGAAGAGAGTTGTCACTCCAACACTTAACAAAGTTGCCTTTTTCATTGTCTTTGATTCTGATGGTGGAGCTTTGAGAGTGTCCTGTAAAAATACCATATTGTTAAGTTCAAGTTTTATGGCTTTAGTTATCAAGTAAACAAGTTATTTGAGTTAGATAAATTTGCTAAAATGAGTTATATACCTGAATTTCAATGAGTATAAGGGAGTATGAATAGGCAAAAGCTATGTCTCCAAGTGCCTGGAAGATCCTCCATACTTTGTGGGTTTGAGTAACAGTTCCAACACTTATTCCAGTCAGGCTTCCCCTAATTTTTCCAGTTTCTGGGAAATTAACCAAACAAAAACACCTTAAATCAGTTTCATCATACCAATTTCATTTTCCAAAATTTCATTTTTAAGTGTCTTTAGGGAAGCTGTTAATACCTGCTACTTTAGCAATCCCAAGACCAAGTCCAATTGTTGAGTAAGTGAAGGACATGACAGCAGCAACAATGGAAAGCCACCATAATTGACCAAAGTTAGGAATTTGAGAGAAAATTATTTCAGCAATGCCAAAAGCAATCATATAAGGGTTGCTATTCAAGCGGCATGGGTTTTTCCCACCACTTGCATGGAAGCAATTAGACCTTTTAATAGCCCTGTTATATCAAAACCCAAAAAACGTGAAAAAAAAAACCCTGTTAGCTCGAACAAATGCAAAACCAGCTAAACAAGAAAACAAATATCATTAGATTCTTCTATTAAATAAAAATCTGAAGTTGGAAACTCACATCATGCTAATTGACGATGCAATTGTGTATCCAATGGCAACTCCAAAAAGGTTCAAGTATTGAACCCACCCACATATCTTGACTTTAACCCCACCTGAAAAGTAACAGAAAAATAAGATGTTAAGCTTAAAAGTTTAGAAAGAACCCTATTTGCTAATGCAATTGAAAAGTTAATTTAATTTACCAAGATTTGAGCTGACAACGTCCATGTAAGTATAGTTCCTCTTGCCATTGATAGGGTCACCAGAGCGGTAACAGGCAGCAAGAAGAGTAGAGGTGTAGTAAGTTACAAAAGAGAACAAAAACATCACTGCTGGACCAGCAATCCATCCAAGCTGAGCTGTAGCCCATGCCAGGGACAGGACACCAGAACCAATAACAGCTGTAATAATATGAGCACTTGCGGTCCATACAGTTCCTGGCAAATGAAAAACAGTTACATAAGAGTTTGGTAAATACAGTAGAAGTTGTTTTCATTTTCCCTTTCTTTTGAACTTTATACAAAAGTAGAATTCCAAGTAAATTTACTTTTTAACAAAAGTAACAAAATCAAACAAAAAGCAAAGGAATCTTGTCATAAAACTTCCTAGAAGCTGGAACTTACCAGTTCGCTTGAGATGGCCATCGTCATCAAAGCATTTGGAGCCACCTTGTTGAAGCACATCAATGGAGAGATCAAAAACTTGGTTGTTGTGAAGGTGATTTTTTCCAGCACCGTTCTCTCCCATCTTTGTTAAAGAAAGAAACCAACAAAAAAAAAAAATAAGCCTGTGTTCGTTGCCTGATACACGAAAAACTTCAAATGTTGCGTTTTATGTATCCAAGTCTAGTTCGATTTTCTGTCCAGTCTGGCAGTGACTGTTGTTCACTATCACTGAGATTTTACACACCTCCCAAGAGTCACAAAACCCAAATGAATTCCGAGCAAGGAAGTCTCTTCCAGATGGAGAGCTATGGAAAAACAAAGAGTAGGAAATGGAGTTGAATTTGGGGTGCAGAATGAGGAATGGGAGTGGAGTATATATAACTGCTGTGGGTTGAACAAAAAGGTGCAGAAAGTAGCACGCGGTCCAAATAACATGGACTACGCGCTTCTTGGCAAATACCTCCCCATCATTCCCCACCCCATAGCCAATATTTAACATAGCCTATCAGCCTCTCTTTTTGTGCTTATGAAATATAAGAAATACCACAAATCTATCTGGGTTACCCGACAAGAAGGTGTAGCACTTTCCTACAGGCTACAATTCTCCTTTTCAAATTTCAACAGTAAGACATAACTCCACTTTCTATTTTCTTGAAACAGTCTTATGATCCATTACAGAGACTCCCTGACTCACTGTTTTGGGTATGGTTGGTTCATAATTAGTAACTTGTAATAGTTGTAGTTTTCTACCAAGTAATAATTAAACTACCACAGACTAAATAATACCATAGTATGATATAAAAAGTAAACATTAATTATCTTGGTCGAACTTAATTAACTATGCTGTATTTTTTTTGAACAAAAGATAAAAAAAAAAAAAAAAGAAATTTTCAGTGTTGGGATTTGAACTATTTGTTGAATGACATATCTTAAAAATAATTATATAAATTTATTAAACTAAATTTCAAATTAATAATAAATTATCTCACCAACCCTTCCTCTTTCCTTTCTCTTCTCGCCAATTTTCATTTCATGCCCTTCGTGGGAGGTGCACATGAAAATTGTAATAATAAATTATAGATACTATTTCAGGCATGGAATCTTCAGTCATTTCTAAATATAAAATGTCCTTTTTCCAATAGAATAATTAACTCAATATACTATGCATGAATTTGTCTGTCCTTTTTGTATGTGCGTTAGAGGTTACTCTTTGTTTTCAAGAATTATATTTTCAGCTTCGAAATTAATCAAATTATAGGGTTAATTAAATGCAAAAGAGATTAAGTACCCTTTAGTTAATGAACAAAACAACATGATAATTAATAGTCATACCTTCATTATTGTGCCTCCAAAACCCTTCTCCTCCAAGGATTGGTATGTAACAAGGACTCTAACACAAGATATAGAAGAGAGGAAATTGTATTAAGTTTTTGTTGTGAGTCTGATTGATGAAATTTGGGTTGCTTTTATAGTGGAAGGGTCCGAAGGGAAGAGCTTGCAAAAACAATAATTTAATCTATAAATCTCTTTAAAAGACCACCTCTGATTCAAAAATTCTCTCGATTATTGCCTCTCCTCCATTCCTATTAAAGGGGAATAAGGTTCCTTTTCATCATTTACATATATTCATGATCCCAAATTTTGATTTAAAAGCACTGAATATTTATAATTAATGACAGTCAAATGCTTTCTTTATAATTATAATAATAATAATCCTAACTAACTAACATGGGTCGACCACCTCAGCCTCTCAAAAACATTATTATAAGCAAAAATAAAACATCTTCCATTCATGGGGTGGACAATCAGTATCTAAATATTCCTGTCTTTAAATAATTCCCAATGAAGGAGGAAAGAAAGGTTATTAGCACAAAGGAATTTAACCATTTAGGAGAGAGAATATCTTTCAATTTTTTTATTTTTAAAATTAATTAAAATTAAATTTTGATTACTAAAATTAAAATTTTAATATTTTACTTGAAGACACATTTTATTACCCTTCGTTTGCTGTACTCAAAAACTACTATTCTAATAATATTTTGGTAGTTAACTGGCAGTAAAATTTTAATAGTTTTACAGAAATTTATGAACCTTTGAGATCACCCAGGATTCAAAATTGAGAAAATAAAAAGGCTGGATTATTATATGTAATTGAAATTTTAAATTCATGATTACGAATCCATTAATCTTTTTTAGTGCGAGATTACCATCACGTAATTGAAATTTTAAATTAATAAATTATATAATAAAAAAATTCTGCTATTTTAATTGAAAAAAAAAAATGGTCTAAATTTGTTCACTAGTAAGCACTCTCCAAGTGTTGCCTTAATAGAAGAAAGAAACTCAGCATAAGCATCACAGACTAATGTAGCTGGCGATGCCCCAGATTACCAGCTTTGACTGCTCCACTGAGTGGTGGAATTAAATAGAAAAATGCTACACTACGACAAGTCAAGATCATTAGAGAGACAGTTGTTTCGAGGATCATTTTCAAGTTTCTACATTTTTTTGGTATTTTGAAAAGAACTTGAATTCTTGATGTATAGAATCAGATACAATGCTTATCAAAAACTCTTGCTCGTTCAAAATCACGGAGCTGCTAATTCAGTGAATTTAAGAGGCTCCTTACAGTTCACAAGTATTTTTTTTTTTTTCTATAAAAAGATTGTAGTTTAAAAATTTTTTTAAAATTACAAAATGTTGAGATGTAAATTTAGATTTATTGAAAATCATATCTTAAAAACAATTTGCATAAATTAACTAAATGAAGCTCTCCGGATTCATTCACAAGAAATATTGGTCTTTCTAGCTAATTTCTTTTCCCCAAAGTGTGACAAATAGAAAAACAATGAAATATGGTTTGAGAACAATTATTGATCCTCAGTTTGAAAATAACCACATGATTGGTGATTACAAGTTCTATGATTTCATACATATCTATATGCCAAAAGCAAGACCTCATATTCATATATTATTTTCTTGTTGATTTCTAGATGAAAACAAATTTATATTCTTCATAATCCTTCTAAGAAATGTAGGTTAGAAGTCTTGATTCTCAAGCAATGGAATCCCAAAAGGATGGCGAAATCATTGATGAAAGATCATAATCAGACTCAAAGTTGGATGGTGAAATCATTCCCAAAATGTTATAAAAACACATAAATAAAAAGATAAATGAAATAATAATCACGTAATTAGATGTATCTGAAATTTCAATCTCAAATTAAGGGGATGGAGAAAGGTAATTTGGATTTTCAGTATCCCTTTAGTTGAAATAGGAAAATGTCTCCATAATTAAAACTTGAAGATAAGGCATTAAAATTAAAATTATTATATTTAAGAGTTTAGTTTGATTCACAATGTCAGATAAATTTTACCAACCTAATTGTGATAATGACATGGAATAATTTTCTTTCAAACCCTAACCATTATTGGAACTATTTTATGCACTTGATCAAATGGCATGATATTTCATTTCCTTTCTACATTCTGAAACCGGATATAATGTGAATGACATGGAATAATTAGTAATTTTTTTTTTTAAAATTTCAGCTTTAAGCAAGACCCATCATCAATTTGGAGAATATGACAAGAAGCAAAACTTCTAATTTGAACACCAGATTCTTTTGAAAGATATTCAAGAATAATTATACCGACACTCCAAGAAATTGATCTTTAGCAACAAATTTTTTTGGAGTTATTTATATCAATGTTATAATATATATATATATATATATATATATTTCGCAATGTAAGTAGTGTTATGTTGCATAAGTACAAGTTACATTTTACATTTTACAACAAAAATATATATGAACAACATTATTATTTGCAACACCTTGCAAGAATTTGTATAATATTTTTTACAACAAAAAAATTTCATGCTGCAGAAGATATTGCAAACTATTTTTTGCAACAAATATGTACATAAAAGTTGTTGCAAATACTTTTTGTAGCATACCTAATGGCAACATAATATAAAATTTTGAGTAGGGATCCACTTACGATATAGTGTGTTTATTGAGTAGGGATCCACTTTTTGTAGTATAACTAATTGCAACATAATATAAAACTTTGAGTAGGGATCTACTTGCACTATTATTTCACATTTATCGATCATTTGTTCAAAATTAAATTCATGAGTAATTTGGATCAAAATAATATTTTTAATCTTAAACATTTAGATCGAAATATCATAAAAACGGCAAAATTTATACTAATGTAAGTAGATTCCTACTATAAAATTTTGTTTATTAAATATCACATTTCTTGTAATTAACGTGATATAAAATATGAAATAATTTTTTAGAAGGAGAGAGAGCAACTATAGTGCATTATTTACTTTGGCATAAGATTTTCCTTATTTCAATTTTTTTTTATTTTTGGGAGAGAGAGGGGAAAATATCTTGGTACAAATAGACCAACCTAGAGAATTAGTGCAGTAGTCAAAAATGTGTTCTAGGTAGAGATGAAATTGTTGAACATTTGGCATTTTTTTTTTTTTTGAGGGTGAAGAAAATGACTTGTCTATCTCTCCGGAAAGCACAATTAGAATAATTAAGTGTTCGTCCCACACTTACTTTTTAAAGCAGTTGAAAAGCACCTATACGAAGAATAGATCAATGAGTTGATTTAATTCAAGTCCAAAACTAGGGGAGCAAAAGAGTTTGATACCCTTGTCATGGAAACAAAAGGGATTAGCTATCTAAAAGTTCTTTAGAATCTTTAGGACGTGTCTTTGTCTCATTAAATTCTTTAATTTTTCAAGTCTTCTCAACAATTCTAAGTGTGGTTACTGATCTTCTATGTCTTGTTGGGTGCTTGGGTCCATAAATATACATGAAAAAATTTGCAAGGATCAGTGATTATGGTATATATGTAATGAATTCATATTTGTATTTTATGTAATAAGAAAACTCTCAAATTCATAAATTTTAACCTCCTTTAATTTTGCAAAATTTGGATTCAAAACGTTATGATTGCAAGTCTCAAATGCTAAACATTATAGTATTTTTTTTTTATAAAGATATATACACATGTTTCGCGCGTCTTTAATTTAGTGGTAGTCCCACTTCTTCAAATAACATGCCCTTTCTTTGGTCATGTCGCCTTCAATTGGTTTGGAGGAGAGATCTTCAAAAGGCAATCCATTAAAAAAATCTAAAAAATGTTGTTGGTCTTAATCCATCTAAATTTTTTATGCCTAAAGGGGTAAAAGGGAAACTAGGAAATAGAATTTGCAAATATTAAAAATTGAACCTTAATCTTATTATCATTTACCTTTTAATAGAGGTGGATGAATCATTTAAATTAAATCCAAATTCTAATCCATCTAGATTTAATAACAATAAATTGTATATGATAAGAGTTCAATATTTTATTAATAGACAACGAATTTATTGTCAGTTAATTAGGGTTTCGTGTTTCATATTAAAGCAACTTTCTTGTGTCCTTACT